CATCTCCCATTATTGAAAACTCCAAATCTTAGAGTTTGTCCATAATTTTTTTCTCTTCCTTCCACAGAGGACCGCAGTGGCGGATGCACCTTTATTTAATGTAGACATGTATTTATTTTGAAATTTGATTTTTTAGTTATTTATTTTATTTATTATATCTATTTTAAAATTTTATTTATGATCGTCTTGTATAAAAAAAATTATATTATTATTCATTCTAAAAATATTTTAAATTCGTCAACGGAAGATCAAGTACTAATCCCTATCCAATCTCAAGGATCAACTAGCAATTAAATTCGGCGCTTATCCAAGAACGGGGACAGTGGGTGGCTCAAGGAAACTCAAAACTCTTTCATTATTTAAACCCTAAATCATGCTTCTTAATCGCCCTCTCTTCACACTAATCATGGTGCAATTAGTATTAGTAATTAACAAGGATCGATGTTGAAATTTGCCACTTAACCTAAAATACATAATAAAGATGTATTTCTATAATAATCAATATAAGAATTTACCATTTAAGATCACACAAAGACCAAGGAAAACATCAAAAAACCTAATCAAATATACTTGAACAAAATAGATATGAATAAATCAGATTGCATCTATAAACGAACCACAAAAAAATATCAAGCTATTAAAAGACCACCGATAAACTGCAAATCAAAGTCGAACAACGTGAGAAAACTATCTAAATCCAATCCGATAATCCAAAGCACGAAAGATCAATATGATAACAAATAAGATCTATCTTGATCAGTCGTGACGGTGTTATATCAAACTCTGAGAAAAATGATAAACGAAAAAAACATTTAAAGATCGAAAATGTACCGAAAGACAAAGAAAAATGTGTCATAAAAATATAATTATTAAAAAATTAAAAAAAAAAAAGAAAATCCAAAGATGTCATATAAAATGAAAAGAAAAATAAGAAATACTGACGATGACAATCAATACCAAGACTGATGTCATCTCCTATTAATCAAAGACGAAAAAGTTAACGGTTATTAGGGTTTACAAAAGAAAAAAATTGACTTATCAATGAATTTAAATATTAATAATTATGTTAAATATATATAATATTATCGGAAGTAATCTATAATAAATTAAATATCAATTATTTATAGTGGGGGGCGGATGCATGGATATTTCATTGTGGACAAATGTCATTTTAAAATTTAACTTTCTTTATGTTTGTTGTACATTTTATGATAGTGTCCATCCTAAAATTTATTAAAGCTTATCTAATACAAAAAAAATTATATTATATATATATATATATATATATATGTCTACCTGAAAAATATTTATAGATCCGTCATTGATTATATATAAAAGAAAAACATAGTCAATGTGATTAAAAGCAATTAATGATAGCTATTTGATGGTCATTCGCCTTTGTTTAATCCCATACCTTAGTTAATCCCGTGGGCCATTTCTTAGAGGAAATCATAAATTAAAATAAACCCTCCTTCAAATTTCAAGATTTTTACAGTTACGTGTCTTATTTGTCACATTTGAATTTATTTGTTTATTTTGTGTACTTTTGATAAAAAAATTCTTTATAAGGGAATAAAATGTAACTGTAGATGTCAGTGGCAGATCCAGAAATTTATAAATGGGAGTCTAAAATTTTAATTTTCTTTTCTTAAAAATAATGAGGTGCAAAATTTTTTATTTTTTACATTTTTCTTTAATATATTATACTAAATTTTACTTTTTTTCCTAAATAATGAGGATGCACTTGACCTCTAGGGGGCTTAGTGCATCCGCCCCTAATAGATGCACTGACGAAGATGAGTTGTGAAAGATATATTTATGAAGATTTATTATTGTTATCCCCTCTCGTGATTGTAATTCTGTCTTTAGAGACCAACGATCTAATACTTAACTTATATCATGTATTTATCTTTCAACTAAAAATTTCTATAAATTTGCAAAACTTAAATGAACCAAATTTGAGAAAGATAAATTATTTGTGAATTTAAGAGGCATTTAAATAAATAAAAGACTGAAAGAGGCAACATGACTCCATCATTAAGCTTAACTTAAAACTCAATACAGAATGCTTAATTCTATCTTAAATCCAAGAATCTTTGTTTTTGTTTTGTTTGAATAGTATACGGTGATTATAATATTGTTTATAATATTTTATAATTATTGATAACACACGCACCCTATAGACATAATGCTTAAATCTAAAACGATAAATCTTTTAAAAAAAATAACATTATTCTAATCACTGAAACCATTTGATGGATTATTAAATCCATAAATCTCTAAATGTCGAATTAAAGATGAAAGGTTACTATTTTCTTTAAGAAATGATTATAAGTAGATAAGGGTAAAGGAATCGGTTATTACATTTTAAAGATAAATCCAAAGTAGAAAGTATTATGACACGTTTGCTTGAAAACATCTGGCAATAACAATCCTAGTCACTGTAATAACTAATAGAGTTAATTACACCTACATCCTCAATCTATAATTTTCTTTATAAATTGGTCCCTAAACTTTCAAATGTTTCAGTTTATCCCTAACCTATGGTTATTATTTTAATTTTGTCCACAAACTTTTTAACATTTTATTTTCATCCCCAAAATATACACTTCATCCTAAATTGGTCCCCAAAATATTTCAACATTTCAATTTCATCCCAAATTATATGTATATACTAATCACGTTCCTTGTAGGGATGGGCATGGGTCAAGTCGGATTTTCGGTCAACCCGACATGACTAGACTTGAAAAATATAAATCGTCCGCCCGAAACCTGATCTGATATGGATTTAGGGTGATTTCACCTGACTCGAACCTCACTCGCCTTTTTGAGATAAAAGTTGAACCCAACCCCATCCAAAATAAGTATATTTGTAAAAATATTAATTTTATTCAATTAAATAGGGATCTAATTGAAAAAATATATAAATATGGGTATTATTGCAATTATCCCTAAATATATAAGGTAAAACTATATTATTTTTCGAGTTGGGTCGAGTCAAGTATTTTTCACCCTAAACTCGAACCCGATCCGACCCAAACATATCATCCAAAAAACTCGACTCGACCTTACTCGAACCCAATTTTTTAAAAAAAATCGACCCATGGAGTTAGGTCGGGTTCGGTCCTGTGCCCATCCCTAGTTCCATGTCAATAAAGTCGTTAAACCAAGCTATATTATATGTTTGGAAGAAAATTTAGGTTAAACTATGGTTAAAACTAATTATATATTTGGATGAAATTGGAAATTTAAAAGTTTGGGGATCAATTTAGAATGAGGGTCATAGTTTGAGGATGAAATTAGAATGTTCAAAAGTTTAAGGACTAATTAAGAACGAGTATCATAGTTTGATGATAAAATTAGAATATTCAAAATTTTAAATACTAATTTAAAATGAAATTATAATATAGGGACATATATGCAATTAACTCTAACTAATAAGTAATATCTTATGTTCAATTGTTAAATCCGTTCCAACAACTAATGAATGGCATCCCACTTGTCCCCATTTATCTTTGCATATATCCAAAGGAACAAATATGTAGATATATCAGAGTACTCAATTATTTTTAAAAAAAAAAATTGGGTCTTAAACAAAACTTAAAAAATAGACCTCTATAGAATAAAAATATATTCCATTACTCTAAAAAATTAATTTAATATTTCATTAATAAACTATAGAAATATATTTAGAGTTTATCAAAATTATATAATTTTCATTATTTTATTAAGAAAACACTTTAAATATAATTAAAATATAAAATGCAATCATTAACTTATATTGTTAAATATATTACTTTATGAAGATAGAAGATGGATTAACCTAAGGGAGAACTCATGATGTACCCCTGCTGAGCCAGCTCTGGAATACATGGAAGAGATTCATGGCCTCAATTCAAAATTTTCTATTTTAATTTATTTCAGATCTTTATAAATTTAAATATTAATAAAATTAAATAATTTTCTCAAAATCCGTTATTATCATCTAAATTCATCAAACTAATCTTAAATGATTCTCGACATCAAATTAGCTAACCTTATTTCCATATGTAATGGGGTAAGGGAAAGGTAGGATAGTAGACTACTCCCAATGCCAGGTTGAGAGCAGCTTTCGTGGGAGACCTCCGACAGTCAGAATTATGAATTGCCCACTGTGGGACTCGATCCCACAACCACAAGGTTAAGAGACTTGCGCTCTACCAACTGAGATGAACGGACAATTATCATGAATCACTGACACCAAATCACAAGTGAAAAAAAAATTGTTTTTATAATAATTTGCTCCTTGATTTGTAGTAGATACCAACTCCCCTTTTCTAACACCATCTTTATATAGCGTATTATAATCAGATATGAAGGAACACATAGCCGAATCCCTGATTGCATTTGTATGATTACCTAATTACAGTGTAAGACGGGCCAATCAGAGCGATGAAGATTCAATGACTTGCTCAGTTTGGTGGGCTGTCCTCAACCCTAATTTACATGTGAGGTTGGTGAAAGGCACTGTCAACCTTTTATTGTCCTTCCCACTGTCTCTCTGTTAATATATATACAGAGAGAGAGAGAGATTTAATTTATTAATAACAATCTAGTCATTAATGACACTCATAGTATTCTTGAAATTATGGCAAAGTCAAGGGCCAAAATACTGATATACAAACAGTATGTGCATGGGGAAGACTATGAGAGGCATTTTGAAAGTGAACGAGTGGTCTCTTAAGGTATAATCTACATTTGTATGCATTAGTGCTAGTAGGGTTAAGTAGAAAATTGATTTAATTATAATATTTGAATGATTTATGATTCAAACTATATATAACAGTGTAGACTATAAAGAAAAGTAGAGCCCTGTCGTTATTATACAAATTAATGTGAGAAAAAACTTAAAAAGTTCTCGCTATACAATATAAAATATACAGTATACGCCCCCTTATAAATTCCTTATCACTAACCCCAAAAGAATCTCACATTTCTTCTTCACTCTGTTCCTTCCTTTGCAAAATAATATTTGTTGTATCTTCGTGTTGCTGCTAGTGAAGCTAAGGTAGAGGACTATAATGGCAAGGAAGCCGAGAATTGTGATAATTGAGCTGGGATGGCTGGTCTAACTGCAGCTAACAGGCTCTATACTTCCACTAGCTCCAACGATTTGTTTGAGCTAGTTGTTGTCGAGGGTGGCGATAGAATTGGTGGCCGGATCAACACTTCAGAGTTTTGTGGTAACAGAATTGAGATGGGTGCTACTTGGATCCATGGAATAGAGGGTAGCCCGGTTCACCAAATTGCTCGGAAAATCCATGCACTTGAGTCTGACCAGCCATGGGAGTGCATGGATGGGTTCTCAGATGAGCCGAAGACTATCGCCGAAGGCGGGTTCGAGCTGAATTCCTCCATCATTGACCCCTATCAACCCTTTTCAAGAACCTGATGGATTTCGCTCAAGGGAAGCTGGTTCAAGACAGTGTAGACTGTGGAAGGGATGCTTGTTACTATAATTTGCAGCTAAAGCAGCCTTGAAATGTTGTATGAGCAATGGTGGGTTTGGTAACCAAAGTGTCGGTGCGTTCCTTAGACAAGGCCTCGATGCTTATTGGGATTCTTGCAAGGACCATGAAGAGCTCAGTGGATATGGTAAATGGAGCAGGAAATTGCTTGAAGAATCCATTTTCGCCATGCATGAAAACTCCCAGAGGACTTATACTTCGGCTGGTGATCTGTTCAATCTAGATTTTGAAGCAGAAAGGGAGTACCGCATGTTCCCTGGTGAAGAATCACCATTTCTAGAGGCTACTTGAGCGTAATTGAACACCTTGCATCTGTTCTTCACGGTGTTATCCAATTAGGCCGCAAAGTCACAAGAATAGAGTGGCAACCCGAGAGTAAAAAATCTATAGAAATTCCAATGGCTACGATTCCAGTTCCAGACCAGTGAAGATCCACTTTTGTGATGGATCTGGTATGTTAGCAGATCATGTGATAGTCACAGTTTCATTAGGGGTCCTAAAAGCTGGAACTGGTCAAGATTCAGGTATGTTCGACCCCCCACTTCCCTCTTTCAAGACAGAGGCTATTTCGAGACTTGGATATGGAGTTGTTAACAAGCTGTTTCTTCAATGGAGTCCAAATGGTAATCGAACAGCCAATGACAAAGACAAGTTCCCTTCCCTGGACCTTGTTTTCAGTCCCCCACAATCCAAGTTAAGGCACGAAAAGATCCCATGGTGGATGAGGAGGTCAGCTTCTCTGTTTCCCATTTACAACAATTCAAACGTCCTCCTATCTTGGTTTGCAGGGAAAGAAGCTCTTGAGCTCGAAACCCTTAGTGATGAAGAGATTATAAACGGAGTTTCATCAACAGTTTCGGGTTTATTACCAGCTCCAAAACCCCACAAGGAAGTGAAGCATAATTGCCCTGATTTCTGCAATGGGAGCGATAGTGAAGACGGTGAAGTAAGATTTGTCAAGGTTTTGAAGAGCAAATGGGGCAATGATCCATTATTCTTGGGATCTTACAGCTATGTTGCTGTTGGATCAAGTGGTGCTGATTTAGACACAATGGCTGAGCCATTACCAAAGATTTGTGGCTCCGAGTTGGACCAAGGTGTGCATTATCCACTTCAAATTTTGTTTGCTGGGGAAGCTACACACAGAACCCATTACTCTACAACTCATGGAGCTTATTTTAGTGGTCTCAGGGAAGCCAATAGGCTTCTGCAACACTATCGCTGCGTTGGAGACTAGACTTAGCACTTTAATTTGATTTATTTTTGAATACCCTAAACCATTTTCTTTCTCTTTCTTTAAAGTAAAGCGAAGGCGTGAATGAGAGCAAAAGAGAAAAAGGGGGTTGGGTTTAATGAAATTATGGAAGAGAGACGGGGACAGTTTTAGATGTATTAAAGAAGCTTCTTTTCAATTTTCTATAGCAATTCTCTTTGCATTTGTGTGAGTACCCAGGGATTTCCTTTATATAATATTTCTTTGATATTCAAAGCAAAACCATTACAAGATCGTGTGTTTGGCGTTGAAATGTGTGATAGTTGGGGAGTTAAAAACAAAGAGAGTATCCCACTGCCCATTGCTTCGGCTTTTGGCCACTGGACGGATCCGCCAAACCCGGCTCTTTCATGTTAGGAATCTCTTACACAAGGCTCCTTTGCTAGCTTTAAAACAAAAAGACCATAATCGATGAAGAATTCGGGATTTAAATTACGAGCCTTTGATTTTCGATTCGGCTGTGATTGTAGTAGAGTCATTAATAGGATACCTTCAACTTCATGTAGCACAGTGCAGCCCTGAGTGTGAATTGGAAGTTCATCAGCATTTCTCATAAAAAAATCAGAGATGCTTGTTGCCGTCTGATTGTTTGGATCCATTGGGTTATTGGTTTTCATGAGTCCAGCACCATGCACACGTGACAGTGCATACATACACAAAGACAGCTCAGACTCTTACTACACAACACCAATGCCTACGCTTGGTATGATAGAAAATAACAGTCCATAAGTATACAATTTCAGCTTGAAAAACACCACAGATTTGTCTGTCTGGGGCTATTTTCTCTCATATTATCACCATTCCATTTTCGTATACCCCTTAAGTCCACCACTCCCAAATTATTTCATCCCCAACAAAAGTAAATCTACTAAGGTTTTTTTTTCTTAATTAGGTTTGGCTTTTGGTTGGTATATTAGGGTGAATGAGATCACCCAACAAACAGCAAAACACTGCATGGTCAGATATCATTAAAGCTATTTATTGCGAATCCATTATTGTTGGTATGAGAGATTCTGGCAGGCTCTCTCGCCCAAGAAAAGAACCGGGAATGGCCTACTTGCTGTCTCTTTTTGCCTCTTGTAGGCTTCAATCACCCTTTGATCATCGTGCACATCACATATCCCTCCTCTATGGACTCAAGATTTTATGTCAGAAGAACAAGCTTCTAAAAATTTTAAAAAGAGATAACAATTTATTATGAATAAAAAATATAAAAAAAATTATTTTTTTAGGCGGTGAATATCTCAACCACCCCTTAACCTATCCCTGTTATAATCAAATTCTTGCTTGCTTCATAAATTTCCCAACCCTTCGATTATTTCTAAAGCCAAATCGGTTTTGACCCTTAAACGGGAGTTAAAAGCTCTTGTAGTGTTAATGCAATGCAAGCCAACTCTAAGTTGCATATTTGTGTCAGTTTTAATCAATGTTTGTAAAACCGGACCGGACATTGAATCGGTGAAGGTACTGGTTCACTAGTTCAACTGGATTCAACCGCGGTTGAACCGGATTTTATATAAAATAATTTTTTTTAATTTTACATAATATTCAAAGTAATATTAATATATATGTAACACTTTGTTTAAGTTTACAATATTAAAAGGTATAAAAATATCAAGTCATAACATATATAAATTAAAAATCATAAAATCAAGTGAAACAAAATGATTCAAATCAACTACAACATAATATTTAAGGTAAAACATATTAAATAATAAATATAATTATATAACTATAATAAAAAATAAAATTGAGACTTAAAAAAATCATAACAAATGATGTCATTTGGTTTATTTTTTTTATAAAAAAAAACAATCTCACATGGCTAAGAAACATAGAAGAGCATCCCAAAAGTTTAAAGAGTAAAAATATGAGAACAAAACAATCCCACATGGCTAAGAAACATAGAAGAGTATCCCAACTTACTTCTATAAATAATAGAGGTAATTTGACATTCAAAATTATAGAGCCTTTTGGTGAGCACAGAGCGAACTATTCTTTCACTTCAATTGAGCTCAAATTTTAGGCTTCAATTGAACTTCTAATTTTTTTTCAGTTCGAGCCTTTTCGAGTTCAAGTTTTAATATTATATTTCGAGTTCGAGTTGAACTTGATAATTTTTAGCTCGTGATTTGAGTAGAGTTGAGCTTACTTTTAAAGTTTTCGAGTTCGAGTCGAGCTCAACAATACTCGAATTTGACTTGGCTCGTTGAACAAACGACGTCGTTTGATTTAATTTTTTTAAAAGAAAAAAAGTGAATTGGTGGTTCAAACTGGTTAGTTTTTAGCCGGTTCACTTTCAACCGGTTCTACCGGTTTTCAGCCAGTTCATTACCAGTCCGGTTTTATGAGATAACCGGACCTGACAGACCACCGGTTCACGATTCAACCGGTTGAACCGGCCGATCCGGTCCGGTTGTAATAACCATACTTTGAATAGAACGCTTTCATTTGGTTATCGACCATTTTTTCAACTGTTAGATAGCCAGATTACAGTGAAGAGCGTCACAAAAATTTTAAGATTTTTTAATAGAAATTTAATATACAAATATTTATAAATAAATAAAATTCATATACTTTTAAAAGAACACTGACACCTTTAAACATAAATTAACACTCATTTTTCATCTACTTAAAATAAATCATGCAAATTATAAATTTGATCCCAAAAATAAATTTTCTCTAAACCTGACACCGAAAATAAATTTTTTAAATTCTCCCTGATTACGTCCTTTTCATGATTATAAATAATATAAACCATTTTCATTTGGAAAAGCTACTAAAGTTCAATTGATCATAGCAATCATTGCGATGAAAACTATATGAAAACGTAACGTGTAGCCTAAAGGTTGGACCATTTTGTGCAAAATGCAAATCCAATTCAAATTCAACTTCCTTTCTCGTACCTTTGGCCTTCCTCCACTCTAAGTTGTAACAAGTAATCTTTAGACATGTCAGACCATAACATCTTCAAACAAACTTTGTCCAATGTCTTTTAGAAATGTTTTTTTAAAGTGCGATCTGATTCAGATCAAATTTGTCTAATCAGATGAATTTGATATTTAAAATTCTAATCCCAAAGAGAAACGTTAAATGCTACTCTGTCGAGTACTTCCCAAGCACAGCCAACTTAACCATGAATCACGACAAGAGTCGATGACCCCACGACAAGACAGCATTAACAAATAAAGTGTGACAGTATCAATGTTTAGCATGGTTTTCAGAACCGAACCGGTTAGTGAACCGATCATGTTATCGGTTCATTAGTTTAACCGGTCGAATCGGTTCGACCGATCGAAAGAACCGGACGAAGTCATAATTATTTAAAAAAAATTAAATAAAAATACCAAAAATATTTAATAAAAAATAATTTTGTATATCACAAGTCATATTAAAAGCAATTCATAACATATATAAGTTAAAAACCATAAAATCAAGTGAAACAAAATGATTCAAATTAACTACAACATAATATTTAAGGTAAAACATATTAAATAATAAATATAATTATATAACTATAATTAAAAAAAAATTTGGGGTTAAAAAATCATAACAAAATGATATTGTTTGGTTTATTTTTTTTTAAACAATCTCACATGGCTAAGAAACATAGAAGATCATCCCAAAAGTCTAAAGAGTAAAAATATGAGAACAAAACAATCTCACATTGCTAAGAAACATAGAAGCGCATCACAACTAACTTCTATAAATAATAGAGGTAATTTGGCATTCAAAATCATAAAGCCTTTTGGTGAGCATTGAGTGAACTATTTTTTCACTTCAATCAAGCTCGAATTTTAGGCTTCAATCGAGCTTCTAATTTTTTTTTTTAGTTCAAGCCTTTTTGAGTTCAAGTTTCAATATTATATTTCGAGTTTGAGTTGAACTTGATAATTTTTAGCTTGTGAGTTTGAGTTGAGTTGAGCTTACTTTTAAAGTTTTCAAGTTCTAGTTGAGCTCGGCAATACTCGAGTTCAACTTGGCTCGTTTAACAAACGACGTTGTTTGGTTTAATTTTTTTTTTAAAAAAAAACAAAAATATCGGTTTTTCCCGATTTTTTCCGGTTTTCAGCCGGTCCGGTTCGAACGGTTCAACGGTTCTGGCCGATTCACTAATAGCGGTTCAACCGGTTTAGATTAAACTGGACTAAGCAACGATTCTCGGTTGAACCGGCCGATCCGGTCCGGTTTTCAAAACAGAGATGTTGAGCCTCTCATTATTTTGGTTTAGCTTTCTTTCTATTTCTTGTAATTATTCGTTATATAATGAACTAGGATTTAAGATAAAATCCAATTTACTCTTTAAAATTCTAATATTACAAACTTTTTGGATACAAAATTAGAGGCTCTATTAATAATCTTTCATGATTCTGATTTTAGATCTTTCTTTTTATTTTCGTTAAAAGTTTAAATTTTTATTAATTTAGAATGATTATTAAGTAATAATTATTAGAATCTAAAGCCTCTAAAAGTAATAATACTTTTTTTTATCATCGAATTATCACGAAAGCTGAAGTTAATTGTTAAAAATTATTAATGTTTTGTATTATCCTATCAATAGCTAGGGACAACGTTTTCTTTTTTATTTATTTTTAATTTGACACTGGAAAATCAAAAATACTTATTTTTTGCTTTAACTTAGCCATCTTTCCACGTATTCATTGTGACTGGGTATGCCACGTCATCTAATGGGCCAATTATTTGTTAACCCAATGACCCAACCTCATTTTTTCTCCAGAAAATAACCATAGCCCACTGAGACATTTATTCTGGTGCATCAAATTACAAATTTCCACATCATCAATAAATTGTACTATATTTAATTTTTTGAAGAATATATATAACGTTCTAAAAATGAGTTAAGATCTACTTACATAACGTAAAACCCTTTTATTTATACATAGATTTAGAATCGTATTGGATGAGTGAAAGTAGATAATTAAGATTAACTTACTTTCTTTTCATAAATCTTCTAATTTCTTACTGTTAATCT